GAAGAGAGAGAGAAAGGAGAGAGAGAGAGAGAGAGAAGAGAGAGAGAGAGAGAGAGAGAGAGAGAGAGAGAGAGAGAGAGAGAGAGAGAGAGAGAGAGAGAGAGAGAGAGAGAGAGAGAGAGCAGAGAGAGAGAGAGAGAGAGTGAAAGGAACACACGAAATACGCGAAAAATAATCGTTCCAAGACAATACCACTGAATATTCTTAAAGCCCTAAAACACACGAAGTTCCGAAAACAAGACCAAAGTGAAAATAAAGAATAGCAAACATGAAAAAACACCAGCAGAGTTTTCAGTGTTTTATGGACGTAACTGCAACAATAACAATGGGCAGATACTTCAATGTTACGAATTTTGCTACGCTCTTACACACCACACACCACACACACACACACACACACAGCACACACACACACCACACACAACACACACACATCAACACACACAAGGGAAATGAAAGTGAAGAGAAAATTTCAATTTTGATAGATGGTGGCGAAGTGTGGGTGGAAGGTGGGGATGGTAGGGGTAGGGGTAGGGGGGGGAAGGGTGGGAAGAGGGGAGAGGGAAGAGGGAAGGGGAAGAGGGAAGGATGGGAGAAGGAAGAGGGAATGATGGGAAAGGGAAGAGAGAAGGATGGAAGAGGAGGGGAGAGGGAAGGATGAGAGAGGGGAGTTAGGGAAGATGAGAAGAGAAGATGAGAGAGGGGAGTTAGGGAAAGATAAGAGAGAAGATGAGAGAGGGGAGAGGGAAAAGAAAGATGGGGTAGGAGTAGAGTGAAAACGAGAGGTGAGGAGATTGAAAAACGGGTGTGGTATTGGGAAAGGAAGAGTGTAAGGGGAGAACGTAAGGTAATGACGGGGGAGGGGGGAGGAAGGGTGTTGGGGAGGCACGAAGCGTGGGAAAGGTAGGGGCGAGAAGATAAGAAAGAGGAGGAAAGAAGAGAGGGCGATAGATACAGAGATAAAAAAAAAAGGAAATAAAAGGGAATAGGAGAGACAGAGAAAAGAAGCGTCGACCGAAAGAAAAAAAAGACGGAGAGAGGGGAAAGAAAAGCGTGCGGGAGAGAGAGCGAGAGAGAAAGAGTGAGAAAAAACGCGTCGAGAAAGAATTTAAGCGTTATCATCATCAGAATAAATGAGTCGCCATTCACGGGAGTCGTCCGAGTGAAATTTCAAGTGAGAATTTTCCTTCTTTTAAGCAGCTTTCGACGCCGTCCTGTTCGGAGCTTCGAAACACTGCCTTGAAGCGACCTCGTGTGTGTGATGGGAATCCTGATAGAAAAAAGTCTATGATATAGGTGTTTTTTGCATGTTAATCATTTAGGTTGTTAAGTCATACTGATATTATTGTTGTCGTGTAATTTTGTATTTTCTAATAATTTATTTTTTTTAGCAGTACTTTACTTATCACCGTGAGTGTGTGTGTGTGTGTGTGTGTGTGTGTGTGTGTGTGTGTGTGTGTGTGTGTGCGTGTGTGTGTGTGTGTGTGTGTGTGTGTGTGCGTGTGTGTGTGTGTGTGTGTGTGTGTGTGTGTGTGTGTGTGTGTGTGTGTGTGCTGTGTGTGTGTGTGTGTGTGTGTGTGTGTGTGTGTGTGTGTGTGTGTGTGTGTGTGTGTGTGTGTGTGTGTGTGTGTGTGTGGTGTGTGTGTGTGTGTGTGTGTGTGCTGTGCCGCGCGCGCACGCGCTTTTTCTCACCTGGGAAGCATACTGGTTCAACGTACCTGCAATGAGAGAAAAAGAAAAAGTTAAATCGAGAATCAAGAAAATTCGCTGATGACGTTATCAACAATAATATATATATTATCATCAGTATCATTGCCACTAGTGAAAGTTGTGGTATTACCATTATTGATACATTTCCGTTATTGCTCCTACTATCATCACAATCATCCTCATCCTCATCTTCTTCAGGCTGAATGTGACCACAATTATAATAATCGCCAATCCTGTCTTCTCACCATAACCCCGATCACTGTGACTATCACTCCACAACCACCATCACCACCTGGCCACCACCAAAACAGACAAACATACAAACAAAAGGAAAAACCATAAAAAAAACAATCTAACACCAAAAATACAAAATACAAACAAAAGGAAGAAACTATCAACAAAAACAAACGAATAGACAATATAACACAAAGCAGAAAAAAAAGGAGAAACTATAAAAACAAAACATACAAACAAAAGGAGAAACTATCAACAAAAACAAAAGCAAAACATAACAATCTAACACCAAAACAAACAAACAGACAAACTAACCCAAACGCTCTCCCCTTCCCCCCTTCCCTCCTCCTAACCTAACCCCGAGAGGACTGCCTATCCCCCTTCCCTCTTAACCTAACCCCGAGAGGACTGACTATCCCCCTTCCCTCCTAACCTAACCTTCCCTCGGCACAGTCACACCCGAATCGACAGCTCTGCTAAAACACCGTCCCACTCACCCCTATCGGCCGCCGGATCACGACAGCCTACGGGAGACGCTCCAATCAAGGCCTACATGACCAAGGCCTACATGACCATACATGACCAGCTGATTCATAGCGGGACGATGGAGGTGTTTGGAAGAAGCCCCCCCCCCTCCCGCCCCTCCCCGTCGGTGTGGTGTATTTGCTTTCCAATAGATCGCGGTGTGGTTCTGGCGTGTTAGCTTAATTTGATTTATAGCTATGCTCTATTGGATATATTTTTCTTTCTTTCTATTTTAGATTTATTTTCTTTCTCGGTTTTGGATGTGATATATGTCTTTAACACAACTGGAGTAACGTTATCAATATCAATATCACTAATAACAATACAAGTAAAAGTACTATTGTTACTATAGCCCCTGATATCAGTAGCACTACCTCAGTACTAATGTTACTAGCAATATCATTACCATTATCAGTATCATCATTATTACGACAACTACTAAAAATATCATCATCAGCAGCAGCATCCTTATTCTTTTCGCCTTGTCTATTTAGTGCCTCTTCGAGTGCAGCTTAATATCATCACTACCATACTTATTGTTTCGCTTCGCATTGGCGCCTCTTCGATTGCATCATATCATCATCATCATCATCATATTTATTCTTCCGCCTTGACCTACATTAACGCCTCTTCGATTGCAGCAACTTCGAACAACCGAACTTCGAAACACTAGAAGCATCATATTATCATCACCATCATCATCATCATCATGCTTATTCTTCCGCCTTGACCTGCATTAACGCCTCTTCGATTGCAACGAAATATCAACATCACCATCATTATCATGCTTTTTCTTTCGCCTTGGTCACTACGAGCGCCTCTTCGATTGCAGCGTACTATCACCATCATCATTATCATCATCCCCATCATACTTATTCTTTCGCCTCGGCCTACATCAACGCCTCTCCGATCGCAGCAGCTTCGAACAACCGACCTCCGCTTCGAAACACTAGCCAGCGGAACCGAAGCATCAACCCACGAACCAGTCGCTAAAAAACTACCTTTCAAACCCTACAAATACTACAGTTCTCCTCTCGCTCCTCCTTATTAAACCCGCACCAACGGCAATTAAGACCCAATCCAATCTAACCTGGCGGATTCTCTACATGGAGATTCTTCATCAAAACGAGTAAAAAAAAAAAAGAAAAGAAAAAAAAGGAAAAAAGAAAAGAAAAAAAGGAAAACGAGAAAAAAAGAGAGATCTTATCAAGCTGGCGAACGGAGGGCCTATTTTGCTGCGTGAGGCGACGCCCTGGGACTGCCTGGCCTTTTAATACCAGGGAGGAAGATGAAGGTGGATGAGAGAGAGAGAGAGAGAGAGAGAGAGAGGAGAGAGAGAGAGAGAGAGAGAGAAGAGAGAGAGAGAGAGAGAGAGAGAGAGAGAGAGAGAGAGAGAGAGAGAGAGAGAGAGAGAGAGAGAGAGAGAGAGAGAGAGAGAGAGATGTTGCATGGGAGGCAGAGAGGGGGAGGAAGAGGGAGTGGGGCAGTGAGAAAGGGAGATTAGGAGAGGGAGAGGGAGAGAGAGAGAGAGAGAGAGAGAGAGAGAGAGAGAGAGAGAGAGAGAGAGAGAGAGAAGAGGGACGGTGAAAAGGAGGGAAGGCGGGGATTGAGGAGAGAGGGGGGAAGAGACGCAGGAACCGACAAGCGAGAATAGGAAGAAAAGGGAAGAGAGAGAGAGAGAGAGAGAGAGAGAGAGAGAGAGAGAGAGAGAGAGAGAGAGAGAGAGAGAGAGAGAGAGAGAGAGAGAGAGAGAGAGAGAGAGAGAGAGAGAGACGAATAATCACTCAATTCCCAACGAAACAATCGGCTTCGGCTCCCCCTCCTCCCCCCCCTCCCTCCCCCTTCCCCCCCTCTCCTAACCTAACTCCGCCTCCCGTCCCATCATTTCCTCCTCTTCATGGCGCAGAAATTGAGACCTGCATTTACGGACGTTATATGGTCATTTTCTGGCATCTATTACCCATCATTGGAGATCCGATGACCACCGTTATTATCGTTATTAACACATGATGAAAACCTTCGCCCGTGCAATTATCATTCCATCATGGCCGCCGAGACAAGAGACCACACACGCGTGTACATGCACGCGCATACGGACACACACGCATGTATACATACACATACTGACATACACATATTTGAATGTATACATATACACGCACACACGTATACTTACGCATATATACATTTACATACTGACGCATGTTCTAAAGCACACACACACACACACGCATATATACATACACATACTGACGCACGTTGAAAGTACACACATACACCACGCCCATATACTGACGCACGATAAAAAGTACGCACACACGCAAACACGCACGCACATGCACATACACGCACACACACACACACACACACACACACACACACACACACAAAAAGCTCCACCGATGATTCAAACCCCGTGGATGTTGCAATCATGCAGCCCTGCAAAGGTTAAACAACTCGGCAATCACACATTAGCATTTAAATAACACGGTGCACTATTCAAGCTACTACATACCGTACATCAAATCAGTTTTATACCGTGATTTCAAACACAGATTTAGTCATTAGCATAATACCACGAGGACGCCGTATCACAGAGGCACATCCAGTCGCACAATCGCACTGCAATGGCGCTGCGCAATCACTCAATCGCAGGGGAATGGTGACACACTATCAATCACGCATCTGAACTTGCTCAATGGCGATATGACGTCGGAGTGTTCGTTCACATCCCTGGTGGGTGGTCGCGGTTTTTCTGCTTTATTCAGTTCTATTCTTTTTTATATCGTGTTACCGTGTTTATAAGATCTCTGTTCTCGTTTTCTCTCTCTCTCTCATTCTCTCTCTCTCTCTCTCTCTCTCTCTCTCTCTCTCTCTCCTCTCTCTCTCTCTCTCTCTCTCTCTCTCTCTCTCTCTCTCTCTCTTCTCTCTCTCTCTCTCTCTCTCTCTCTCTCTCCTCTCTCTCCTCTCTCTTCATCCTCTCTCTCTCTCTCTCTCTCTGTGTGTGTGTGTGTGTGTCTGCGCGCGCGTGTGCGTGCGTATGTACGTATATATATATATATACATATATACATATATATACGCATATATATGTATGTATATTGTATATACATAATTTATGTATGTATATGTATATACATATATACAATTATACATCAATTCTTACAACCACATATAGACACATATGTGTGTAATATATATATATATATATATATATATATATATATATATATATATATATATATATATATATATATAATAATTAGCTATTTAAATACAAACAATACATACAAATATACATATATACATATACATAAATACACACACACACACACACTATATATACATATATATATACATGTTACATCTGTTATATATATGTATATATAAATATATATATATATATATATATATATATATATATATATATATATATATATATATATATATGTGTGTGTGTGTGTGTGTGTGTGTGTGTGTGTGTGTGTGTGTGTGTGTGTGTGTGTGTGTGTGTGTGTGTGTGTGTGTGTGTGTGTGTGTGTGTGTGTGTGTATACATTCACAAAGAAAGCCACACAAAAAGAAAAAGAAAAAAAAACAGATAAGAGCTCCTCGCCAGCTGTAAACAAGGACCAAAATTGTGATTCAAACATTTCCCAAAATCGCTTACGGACTCACCCCCTTTCCCCCCCTCCCCTCCCTCCCCTCCCGTTGGTCTTCCTCGTGCATTTTGGTCCGTCTGGGTTAATGGTTTGAGAAATTGGGAGGAAAGGGAAGGGGGGGGGAGAGGGAAAGGGGAGAAGAAGGGGGAGGAAAGGGAAGGGGGGAGAAAAGGGGAGGAAAGAGAAGGGGAAGGAGAGGGAAGGGGGGAAGGGGGGAGGAAAAGGAGGGGAGGAGAAGGAAAGGGACAGGGGTAAAGGGAGAGAGGAGAGGGGAAGGGTAAGAGAAAGGAAGGAAAGGAGAGAAAGAGGAACAGAATAAGGCGAGTGAGAGAGAGAGAGAGACGAAAGGGAAATAGCTGGAGAGAAGTGCATGAGAAAAGAAAAGAGGTAGGGGAGTAGAAAGGAGAAAGGAAAGGAAGGGGAAGTAGAGAAAGGATAAAGAAAAGGGGAGGAAAAACACGAAGGAGGGAAGGGAAGAAGCCATGGGGAATGATGCAGCAGGGGAGAGGGGAGAAAATATAGACATTTACATAAAACCATCAAGTAAGAGAGAGAGAGAGGAGGGAACAAGAAGACAATTTTTTTTTCTTCTACTATTTGACGTCTAGCGGAAATCTCGTTTTTTTTCCATTTTCGCTGCGTGGTTCGCTTATTTGCGCTGAATCCAACAGTACTGTTTGAAGTTCCAGTGGCTGGAAACTATCATCCTAAAGGTTATTATTCCAAATGTGTGGAAAATATGTGTGTTCTTTAAACACGCACAGCGACACACACATACATACGCGTGCGTGTGTGTGTGTGTGTGTATGTGTTTGTGCGTGCGTGCGTGCGTGCGTGCGTGCGTGCGTGTGTGTGTGTGCGCTCGCGTGCGTGTGTGTATACTGCACATGTACCCAGTAATCAAACTACAGCACAACTGCCTCCTGTCTCCCTCACCCTGCCTCACCTACACGACCCCCTCCCCCCCACCCGTCCCCGCCTCCCGTCAGGCGTGCCACTGAGTGCCACCAAGCGCCTGGGGAAGAGACGTGGCACTGGTAGTTAGAGCGTTAGAAATGGTAAAGGAAGAAGGATGACACGGGTGAAGGGTGTGGGGGACGAGGGGTGGGGGAGGGGTATAAGTCGAGACGGGGGGGGGGCTTGTGTGTGTGTGTGTGTGTGTGTGTGTGTGTGTGTGTGTGTGTGTGTGTGTGTGTGTGTGTGTGTGTGTGTGTGTGTGTGTGTGTGTGTGTGTGTGTGTGTGTGTGTGTGCGTGGTGTGTGTGCGCGTATGGATGTGCGTGCGTGTGTTCGTATGCGTATGGATATATGTGTGCGTATGGATATACGTGTGCGTGTGTGTGTGTGCGTATGCTGTGTATCAGTGTGTGTTTACATGTGTATCACGCGCTGGCACACATGTATTCGCTTTCGTGTACGTATTTCTAAGCGCCGACCGTGTGTACCGGCCTTCGCTTTCGTTTTTTCTTGCTCTCCATTTCTATTTTTCAATCGTTTCTTATCGCGATTACCCGGTCCACGTCCCTCCTCGCTGTTATCGGGCCTCCTTTTTTCCCTTCTTTTGTCTCGGGCAAGCGAGATAGGGGAAAAAGCGCGCGGAATGCTCTTTTAAAGGGGGGAGGAAGGATAAAAACAGGGAGAGAGAGAGAGAAAGAGTGAGTGAGTGAGTGAGAGTGAGAGAGTGAGAGTGAGAGTGAGAGTGAGAGTGAGAGAGAGAGAGAGAGAGAGAGAGAGAGAGAGAGAGAGAGAGAGAGAGAGAGAGAGAGAGAGAGAGAGAGAGAGAGAGAGAGAGAGAGAGAGAGAGAATACAGAAGAATTATATATTTATATTATACATAACATACATACATACATATATATATATATATATATATATATATATATATATATATATATATATATATATATATATATATATACATACACATATATATATATATATATATATATATATATATATATATATATATATATATATTTTCTGCTCCGAAATTGGTCGGCGTTGTATATTCTTTGTTTGTTTCAGGGGGTCGTTGATTGTCCCCTGAGGAGTTATCAAAGCCTTTTTTCATGCAATCTGGTCCCTTTGATGTGTGATTTTAAATCTCTCTCTCTCTCTCTCTCTCTCTCTCTCTCTCTCGCTTCCTCCCTTTCGCCCTCCGTCTCTTCTTCTCTTTCGTTTTCCTCCTCTCCCTTTCCTCCACTTTCCTCCCTCCCCTTAACCCTCTGCTCCCTTCCTCCCTTCACCCCTCCTCCCCCCCTCCTCTGCCGCCCACCCTTAAATCCCCAAACTCCTTTATGAAGTTCAGCGCGGGTGTTAGATTTAGATCCAGTCATTGATACCAACTCCGCGAGGCTGTGCCCACTGTTACCAAAATGGCGACGATTCGTGTGCTTTGGTTGTAGTTGAACCTTGAGCGGGCACCATTTTTTTCGTGTGTGTGTGTGTGTGTGTGTGTGTGTGTGTGTGTGTGTGTGTGTGTGTGTGTGTGTGTGTGTGTGTGTGTGTGTGTGTGTGTGTGTGTGTGTGTGTGTGTGTGCGTGTGTGTGTACGTGTGTATGTGTACGAAACAACGTGCATGCGGGATAGAATATTCGTTTTACTCTCCGTAACTTTTGATCATTTCCAAACACGATTTTTTCCCTGGGTGCAGTGCGGTCGGATGATTTTTTTTTCTTTTGCGATATCTGTCCCTGCGTCAGAAGAGCCAACTGGAAAACTAGTCAGTAGAGCCAACAATAAAAGCCCCTTATACCAGTAGAGCCAACAATCAAGGAACCCTTATACCAATATATCCAAAAAACACGGAACCCTTACATCAGTTTATCCAACAATCGAACCCCTTATAGAAGCACAATAAACAGACAAGCCACAATCTAACTGATGTCAAAGGAGCCTGTCACAGCAAACCCTAAATTATTATTATTATTATCATTATTATTATTATTACTTCAGTCTATCCAACAATCGCGGAGCCCTTGTATCAGCCAATCAGCAAAGCCCAGGAATGGCACCATGATACCGAACCAGACACGCCTACCCCCCCCCCCAAGACCGCCCCCTCCTGATACGTAAACAAAACCTCCGCAGAAAATGGAACAGGTAGGCAGGTGCAACGAGGTACGGAGGCTGTCTGGCTACACTGCGCACCTCCGCTAATTATGAGTGATGGTTGCTACTTGACCGCTACTGGAGGGAAGGCGGGTGGGGAGGAGGGGGAAAGGGAGGAGGGGGGGGGGAGGAGGAGGAGGGAAGGGATGTACTGTGCTGCCACGGTTCTCTGTTGGTGTCTCTGCTTTCTTGTGTATTTGTTTTCTAAAGCTCTACTTTTTTTCTTTTCTGTCTATGTCTCTGTCTCTCTCTTCTTTCTCTTAATTCTTTCTCTCTCCTTCCCGAAACCTTATGGACTTCCATCCCTCCTACCTTCATCTTTTTTCTTTCCTTCCTTCCCTCCCCTCCTTTCAACCTACCTAAACTCCCCAGCGCACCCTTCCCCACACCACCTCATCTCCTCCTTCCCCTACTCTACCCTCATAATCTTTCACCTCAAACCCTTCCCCACACACCCCCACATATCCCTCCCCCTAAATCTCCTCATTCCCCCCTCCCGCCCACCCCCTCCCACCACCCAGCAAAGCCGCGGCGGTATGCTAATTAGTTACTTCGTCGTCGTCGTCGTCGTCGTCGCCAGCTGCAAGTCCCACCGCGATGCCTCATGTGCTGCTGTGGATGACCTTCCGTTTGGGGATACGACCCTCTGCGGCGCTTGCGACCTTTTGCAGCGGGGGACGACCCTTGGCTGCGGGCGGAGGGAGGCAGGTCGTGGGTGAAGGAAGGTGGGTCGCGATCTGCACTGTAGGGGACGACCATCGGCCACGGAGAGAACGAGGGGGCTAACGACCTTACTTATTGAAAGGGGGGAGGGGGTCACTACCTAATATTATAGGGGACGACCCTTGATTACGGGTGGGGGGGGGGAAGGGGATACGACCTTCTGCTATGGAAAATGACCACGAGGTTACAACTGTGAAGGACAGTAATCGGCTATGTAAGGAGAGGGTCGTGACCTTTTGTTGCGGAGAACGACCCTTCCTCCAGGATAAGAGAGGCCGTTGTGGCCTGTTGAGAAGAAGAAACTTGGAATAATGACAACGACCTACTTTTCGACCCCATTTTCTCCTCTGGACATGTCACACTGTTATGGCACGACCCTCCTCCCTGGCCACGACCTCGTGCCATGACCGTGGAATTATGGCCAAACGACCTTTGCCTCCACTTGATCAGCTGATTCCAATACATTATCCAAGATACAGAAAACTCTACAATACACAGACCAAAATAAACTACAACATATGAACTCCAGACCCTTGTTTACATCTTGCTACAACAACGGCCTTCTGCTCAAACTACCGCTGCCTACGACCCTTGGCTAGGAAGCGGACAAAACCCTTCTGCTGCTACTTCCCCTGTGGCCAAGTCCCTCTCCTGTGGCTTCGGCGTCCTTCTGTGTAATTAGACGGCCAAGTTCTGTAGTTTTCCTTCAAGTGCGGACCCTGGAAGCGTGTGTGTGGGCTGGGTCCATCGTGTGTGCTTATATTTATGTGTGTGTGTGTGTGTGTACATGTGTGTGTGTGTGTGTGGTGTGTACATGTGTGTGTGTGTACATGTGTGTGTGTGTGTACATATGTGTGTGTGTGTGTGTGTGTGTGTGTGTGTGTGTGTGTGTGTGTGTGTGTGTGTGTGTGTGTGTGTGTGTGTGTGTGTGTGTGTGTGTGTGTGTGTGTGTGTGTGTGTGTGTGTGTGTGAGCGTCCGAGATAAGGCTCCCACACGCCAGGGTTCCTCTCTCGCACCAAAACTTTCCTCCTGTTATGAAAAAGCTTATCACTGGAAGATTCAACTCTACTGGAGGTGGCGCTGGGGTGGAGAGTGCCTCTCTCTCTCTCTCTCTCTTGCTCTTTCTTTCTTTCTTTCTTTCTTTCTTTCTTTCTTTCTTTTCTTTCTTCTCTTCTTTCTTTCTTCTTTCTTTCTCTCTCTCCTCCCACATCTAAAAGGTAACACAAAAGACACAGTAATACTAATGCTTAAGGAGCGAATACCCACAGTAAAAGAAAAAAAAACGCCATCATTTAAGCACAATAAAAAGTGTCAAAAAGGCGAACAAAATTACTTCTTTCACGTCATCCGAACACCCTTTCCCTAAAAAGAAAGAAAAAAAAGAAAAGAGAAAAAAAAAAAAAAAGGGGCGGCGACCAAACCCTTTCGAATTTGGCGCGCTTTTAGGAGATCACGCGAAAACCACGCCCACCGTTCTCTAAATTCTCTGTTGTTATTTCCCAACGATTGACTTTTAATGTTTTTATCTATCATATGATATTATCTATTTATCTTATTTAAAGACATAATTTCATTTATTTATTTATTTGTCTTTTTATCAGATATTTTTCTTATTCCATTTATTTATCTCTATATTTTTTTCTGGAGTGGGGGGAGGGGTGATATGATGTGTGATGTTATGAATTTAGTATTGGCTGGAAACATATAACGGATCAAACAAAAACAAAAAGAAAGTGGACAAAACAAAGGAACAGTAAAATATATGGATGGCAATCATAATTGTTTGTTAACCTCTTACTTTCTGTTCTTTATTCTCCCGTATTCATTTCTACGATTATTATGAACTTACCCATGTATTTATCCTTCCTTCTATCAAAGTCTGCCCTTCTTTTTTACGTAGTCCTTTTGTTCTTCTGTTCCTCCTTTTTCTCCCCTTTCTCTCCTCCATCAATGTCGCTCATTTATGAGTTTTCCTTTTTTCCCTCCCTCATTCTTTCCTCCCTTCCTTCTCCTCATCCCCTTCCTTTCCTTTTCCTTTCTCTATTCTCCTCATTCCCTCCTTTCCTTTCCTCCTTCGCTTTCCTTCTCTCCTATTCCCTCCTCCTTCCTTTCTATTTTCCTCATCCCCCTTCCTTCCCCCCTCCCCTCATTTCCCTCCTTCCCTCATAACCACAAAGAAAACGCACGACCAAAGCCATCGAGTCTGCGGCAACATTCCCCCCCCCCCCCGCCTCTCCTTTAAGAAATTCTCCTATTTCCCCTCTTCTCCTTCCCCTTTCTCCCCCTCAAATTCCGAACCTCATCTCGCCACATCTTTCCTCCTCTCCTCTTCCATTCTTCGCACTTAACTTTCCTCCCTCCCCCCTCCATCAACTCTCCCTTCCCTAACCTACTTCTATTCCCCCTCTCTTCATCCCTTCTTCCCTCCCCTCCTACCTCTTTTTCTCCTCTCCTCCCTCCCTCCTTCACCCACTGCCTCCCTCCCCCCCTTTCTTCCTCTTACTCTCACCCTAAGCCTCATATCCCCCCCATCCCCTCTCCCTCCCACCACCCGGCCCTCAAGTCCTCAACAACCCCCCCCCGACACCCTGGTCACCTAGGGGGGTAACAGCTGGTTACCGGAAACCTGTGAATGGCCTACGGAGGGACAGGAAGTTGGGAGTGCTCTTTATCTCTCTCTCTCTGTCTATTTCTCTCTTTTTGTTGTTGTTTTCTCAATTCTGTTTTTTTTTCTTTACTTTTGTTTGCTTTGTTTTTCAACTGTTTTTTTTGTCTACTTTCTTGTGTTTTTTGCTGTATTTGTTTATCTGCATCTGTGTGTGTGGATCCTCTTGTGTCTCTCTCTCTCTCTCTCTCTCTCTTCTCTCTCTCTCTCTCTCTCTCTCTCTCTCTCTCTCTCTCTCTCTCTCTCTCTCTTCTCTCTCTCTCTCTCTCTCTCACGCACGCACGCCACACTTTCCCTCCGTGCCCCCTTCCCCTATCACCACCTTGGAGAGAAAAAAAAGAAAAAGAAAAAAGAAAATAACAAAACCCTAGCGCATAAGTCCGCAGTCTAATGAATCTAATGCAGGTATAAATGAACTCCAGCCCCCCCCCAAAAAAAAAAAAAAAAATAAAAATAAAAACTGAGTTCTAAATCCATCATCCTTTCCTCTCCGTGAATGCCCGGGTTTGGCTAATTAGGTGAATCGAGGTTTTTGTGTGTCTGTGCATCTGTTTACTTGAAATATTTTCCATTCATTTTCTATCTTTTCCTTCGCTGCCTAATAGTTGTGGTTTTGCTGGTGAGTTTTGTTGAGAAAGTGATATGTGAGTAACGCTATTTTACATATCTATGCGTGTGTGTGTTTGTATGTAGTGTGTGTGTGTGTTGTGTGTGTGTGTGTGTGTGTGTGTGTGTGTGTGTGTGTGTGTGTGTGTGTGTGTGTGTGTGTGTGTGTGTGTGTGTGTGTGTGTGTGTGTGTGTTGTGTGTGGAGAGTGTGTGAGAAGGAATGGGGAGACAAGGAAAGAAAGAAAAAACGAGAAAAAGAGACCGCCCGATCCCAAGGAAGTCCCACATGCCACGAAACCTAATGAATTCATGTTTCTGAACCCAATTTACACGCCGCGTTGAGCATAATTCGAACCTTTGATCGTGTAATTCCCCGTCAGACACCGCCAAGCTGCGCACTGGCCACTTCACTTGTTTTAGTTCCCGCGCTCGGACCTCCATGGTTTGTTTACATGTGTGTCTGTCTGTATGGTTGTGATCGTGTCTGTCATTTAGTCTGTATTTTTTAAGTAATGAGTGTCTGTGTATTCTTTTACGGATGTGTCTGTGTCTGTATGGCTGAGTTTGTGCCTGATTTTTTGTCTGTATATCTAGATATCTTCATGGGTGTCTACAATGTCGATCTGTCTCTGTTTGTGTTTGTTTGTTTCCGAGTCAGTGTGTATGCTTTTACCTGTTTGTGCTTCTATTTCTACCTGTACTTATGCCTGTATTTGAATATGTATGCCTGTCTGCACGCATTCAAAGTTTTTCACAATTAATCACATCACAGTATCGTCTTTATCATAATCATCACATCCAAAATGGTTTATATTCATCGATCTTCGTTGTTGTTTTTTTCCAGAAGAATTATAGTAAAAAAGTTACGAACAGACTGTGACGAATCTTAATGGGTGGGATGGCTATTAGCTACGGTGAAATTAAACCTTTTTTTTTCTCTTTTTTTTGACACCTAGGCAAAAGCTCAAACAAAAGCTCGTTCCTCTCTCTCACTCTCTTAATATTTTGGGTTCTGTTGGCGTTTGTTTTCTAGTTTCCACTGATGGTCTTAAAGTTTATTGATTACTATTAACACTCCTGCTATCATTATTATCATCATTGTCATTATTACTACGATTGTTATCATCATTATTATCATCATCATTGTCATTATTACTACGATTATTATCATCATCATTGTCATTATTTCTGCGATTGTTATCATCATTATTATTATCATCATTGTCATTATTACTGCGATTGTTATCATCATTATTATCATCATCATTGTCATTATTACTACGATTATTATCATCACTGTCATCATTACTACGATTATTATCATCATCATTGTCATTATTACTGCGAATATTATCATCATCATTGTCATTATTACTGCGATTATTATCATCATCATTGTCATTATTACTGCGATTATTATCATCATTATTACCATCGTATTCCTTCCACTATCATCTCCCTTTTCCTTATCCTTACGACTATACCAACAAAGCTGCTACAACTACACCTAACAACAGTTATGTACCACAAATACAAATACTTCACACCAACACAATTAACAAACAACAACAACCCTTAAGCAAGTACAACAAGAAAAGTGAACCGGCTACTCACAACCCAAGCGAATTCACTTCCTCTCGCCTCATTATCATTTGTTTAATGTTTCCTAATTAGGGCGGCATGGACGGCTATTTACGCCCAATTATCGCGTGCCTTAATTAATTGTCCTGGCAACCCCGCAGTGACCGCAACTACAGCATTTA